TTTGCCCAATTAAACAAAAGCCCAAACTGAAAACAAACCTTCCCCAAAGCAGCTAAGGGATGAAGCTTTGCATCTCCATAGCATTTACTCATGGCGACTTTACATTGAGTGTATAGTTGTGCCCTATAGCAACCAATGTCTAGTCTGGTATACCATGAGGTTTCTGGTCAAACAGCTGTTTGCACAGGAGGTAAGTCTTCCATTATGCAACACCCTGATTCTGGCAGCTTTGTGATACGAAACTTCAGGTGAGGGAAAGAAAGGCCTTGAGACACCTGTATAGCCAGATAACATAGGCGCCAGCCTGGATCTCATTTACCCAGCCTCCAGCGAGCCTGCCCTGAGCCCCCCTTTTATCTAGCTCTGCTATGGCCAAGGCTGTCCATGTGAAGAAAGACATGTTGACATCAGATTCCAAAGTTCCCTGAGAAGAAAATTCTATGGTTACAAAGGGTTGTTAGTGCTTTGTACCTTCAGAACATTGTCTCAGTAACACGCGTCAGCCCCAGAAAGCAGAATGACAGTCCACACTCCACTGCGATTCACTATCTAATCTGTAAGAGAGAATAAACATGCCTAAATTTCTTTGAAGTGTCCGCACATACGCACTTTGGCATCTAGTCCAGTCTATCTCCGTGGGAGGTCTGCTTGCTTCTAAAGACTGTGGAGTTCAGTCTAGAGGTGCACATTTCCCCTGCTAACCTCAGCTGACCTGTTGTATCAGCACGCAGAAGGCCAGTGTTCTCTGGATTGCCTTAGTACAGAATTGATCTGAAGAGTGGTCAGGAGTAAGCACAGAGGTGGTTTAAAATAGGAAGTAAATTTGCAAACATGTTCTTGAGAATCTAGTTTGTTACAATCCAATATTCCTCTCTACTGCTTGAATGCAAATTTTAGTAAATAAAATCTCTGTAATATTAAATATGGCAATTTTTTCTTTTCTAGGCCATCACAATTATTTTTCAAAAACACAGGTTTTTTTTTTTGCCAGCACCAAAAGATGCATGTTTTATTTCTGAAAAAAATAATGAATTGAAATCATCAGTGTCTTAATCATCCAAACAAGGAATCATGGATATTCAGAGCAGAGCCCTGAATTTCTGATTCTGTACGTGTGTTCAGAGAGTCATTCCATTTTAAAAGCTGTACAGGATAAACATGAGGATACACTGGGAATGTGTGTGACATTTCACTAATACCACTCTGATATATCTAGGGCATGTTTACATATTCTAAGGCACTATGGTAATTTCCACTGTGAAGAAATATGTTTCTTCTCCAAAACTTTGTAAGTGATAATTTTGAATGCACAGGTATATTTTTTTAGTTAATGGAACATAATATTATCACTTAATATACTACCAGAGATGCACACAGATGCTGCTAATGTTTGAAAACACATTTACTTTTTAAAAATGTCATTTGTTTCATCTGTGTGTGTGTGCATGTGACGGTGTTTGCATGGCACAGCACATATGTGGGGTCAGTGGACAAACTGTCCTCTCTTTCACCATGTAGAGTCTAGGAATCAAACTCAGTTTCTCAGACTTGGCAACAAGCACCTTTCCCCACAGAGCCATCTTGCTGGACCACGTAGCAGTGTTTTTTTTAGCTGCTCCCTCTCCCATCCTATACATACCACCAGACAGTCAGATGTGCTATGTAGATGGTCCTGTTACTTAAAATCCAAGTTCCCTTTCCTTGATCTGTGTTTTCTTGGTGAGCACTGCTTGTGAGGAATGTAATGCAAAACACTTTGGGAATGTAAAAATGGGCCAGTCATATATTTCAGTGGTTGACTGCACATATTCCGATGCCTAGCCCTGCCAAAACAACAACAAAAAACATGACATAATGTGGGCCCATGCTTAAGGTACTGCCCTAATTGAGGGAATGTGTCAGTTAGTTAGTCCTTCTGGAAATGCTCTCACAGGTGCAGTGGTTCTCAACTGTCCTGATGCTGTGACCCTTTAATACAATTCCTAATGTCATGGTGAAACTCAGCCATAAAATTATTCTTATTGCTGCCTCACAACTATAATTTTATTAGTATTCTGAATTGTAATGTAAAAATTTTGGAGATAGAAGTTTGCCAAGGGGTTGCAACCCACAGGTTGAGAATCACTGGCCTAGAGCCTTCTCCATTGATTCCAGATCAAATTACCAGTTAAGATAATCAGTCGCCCCAGGAGGCAGCCCTTCCCCTTGAAGGCTCTGTAAGTTTTAATGTCTCAGCACTAAATCTCTGTGGTCCTAGGCTTTTCTTTGATTGGACATTTCTTTTTACTATTAATTCAATTTCCTGGCTCACTAGTGCTCAAGTGTTCTGTTTCTTTGTTGTTCAATCTTGGTATGTCGTATGTGCCCAAGTTGATCATTTGTCCTAGAATATACAGTTTTTGGTCTGTCATTGTTATAGCAGTTGCTTGCAATGCTTTGTATCTCCGTAGCTTCAGCTAAAACATCTCCTGTTTCAACTGACTTTGTTTTCTTCCTTTGTGTCTCATTCTAAACAAAGCTCTATCGATTTTGCTTTTACTTCATAAAGCAGCTCTTCATGTTATTGATCTCATATATTTCTTTATTCTCTGTTCAGTTATGTAGATGAATTTCTAAGTGGTCTTATTAAATAAAAAACATGGAGCCAAATATAGGGGTGAAAGCCTTAGAGATCAGGGAAATAGAAATAGCCACTTTCCATCCTTCTAATAATTTGGGATTTGACATGTTCTTAATTTTCTAGTTTTTTGGGTACATTATTATGTTGTCCATGATTCTTATTGTTTAATAAAGACATTTATTACTATAAACCATCCTCATGACTACTTTTCTGTGTCCTATGAAACATTTTTCAAAGATAATATTATAATAAAATTGCAGTGTTATTATGCAATGTTTCCATTATCATTTATTTGAAAAAATTCCCTTTTAATCTCTTCAGCGAACTATGCTGATTAATTTCTATGTATGAAGAGGGTTGTCATATTTCCTCCTGCTGATTTATAGTTTTATGCCATTGAGGTCAGAAAGGGTAACTGAAATGATTTCATTCTTCCTAAATTCTTAAGGCTTTTTGTGGCCTAACACATGATATACCTGAAGACTGTTTCATCAATTTTGAGAAGTAACATGGCAGGCAGGTGGCCATACTGACCGAGGAAAAGTTTAAAGATCTGATCCCAAGGTCTGTAATGAGTGAAAGCTATCTGGTCTCGCCATTTCTACCCATATAACACTAGACACCCTGGCCAGACCTCGCAGCCAATAGAAAGAAATAGTATGTATCCAGTTTAGAAAGGGAGAAGCCAGATTTGCCCTTCTTTATAGATGGCATGGTCTTACACATAGAAAAATGCTAAGTGATGCACAAAAAGTTCCTATTAAAATTAATAAATAATCAGTAAAACTTCAGAGTATAAAAATCAACATTTTAAAAGTTAGCATTTTATACACTAGTAATCAACTATTGGAAAAGGAAACTAAGAAAACTATCCTATTCACAATGGATATAAAAAATCATCAGAGCTGTGTGCAATGATACTTTTCTAATCTCAGCACCCGGGAGGTTGAAGCAGGGTACCTGTAGATCTTCTTGAAGGCAATCCTGTTATATAATTTTGAAAGCAAGAATATTCATTCGTGTACAGAGCAAAGCAATAGACTGGGTATTAAGAACAACATTAAGATAACCCAAGATTATTTTGGTTTTGGGCCCACTGTATTCAAATTCACCTAACAAAAGTCTCATTATAAAACTTGTCACTATATACAATAAATATTATGCTGATGAAAATAAAAACTAAGCCTACATGGTGGTTAATAAATATAGAAAATAATGAAAGAAAATAGAAAGCAATTGCTACATCACAGAAACCCAGTAAGCTTTTGTGGCATGTATCAGTTGTGCAAAGCCTAGTTCTTCACATGACTTAAAGGATCCTTAGGCAACCTTGTGGCTGATGTTAATTACATCCTAATGCTACTGTGCAAATTGTGCCACGGATCCCTTTATACAGTATTGCCTCTACAACCTTTTGTTTTTGCTTTGCCTTAATTTATAATAGTCATTTGATACCGGATAAAAAATTGCCACCTACTGGATGAACTGTGATCTACACAGTTGCAAAGACCCTTGTTTGTGGGAAAATGGACCAAAATTTCTGCTTGGTTAAAATGTATAGATTCCTTGCCTGGCTTATTCTTTGGTGGATTTGATTTTAGCTGATTTGATCATGGAGATTTACTTCAAACTCTTGGCATCCTCTTCTCCTCAAAGGCAGAGTAGTAGTCTCTCTAGAGTGTGTTTTCTTTCAACAAATCTCAAATGTCTACATGTAGCCATGGGCTGGAAAGATTAAATGAGTTATCTATGCAGCTGGAACGATGGCCCCTGTAAACAATAAATGATAAGTTGGGAATGAAAACCCAACATGATGATGACTCTTAATTATGTTACATAACATGATAATCAAAGAAACAAAACACAAATGTTTGTATAAACACATTCTTAACAAAAGCACTCATGTTAATTATAGTCCTCATTTTTGCAACTGGTCACATGGCCTTAGCTGGCCAACCTTCCTCTACTACCCATTCTGTATTTCCTCCACCCTCAGCAAGCACCTCAGCAGATCTTGGTTCTTTTCCTGGGGGAGTGACCCACATCTTCATTCCTGACTGGCCTGTTATCCTGCATGAATTAGGTTATTGTAGTTTCCCAATGACATTAATCTCAAGACATGGTAGCACCAAGAGATGCACTAAAGGATCTTCTGCGCTCCAGACATACTCTTTCTTACCTCCATAGTGGAGAAACAATCCAATTTCTCTTTGGTAGTCTGGATCAATCACCCCTTGAAAATTGTTATTCCTTTCTTAGCCTGTTGCCTTAAGGGCATCAGAAGCCCAAAGTAGCCAGAGGGATATCTGAGCTTCCAGTTCAATGGAATGTTTATTGTGGCTCCTGGCAACAGTGCTCCCAAGTCTGGAACCAGAACTTCTAAGCCAACAGAACTTAATAAGGTGATGGGACAGGAAGCAAAAATGTTTCTGGCTAGTGGAGAAAACACGGCTTATATTAGATGCTGATTCAAAGCATATTCCACCTTCTGGAGAACCCTGCTCCAGTCATCAAAGCTGCTGACACCTAAATGCCACTATAACAATATCTTCAAAAGGCCATCCCATCTTTCTATCAGGCCAGCTGCTTCAGGATGGTGGGGAACATGCAAAGAACAGTGGATTCCATGATCATGGGCCCACTGTCATACTCCTCTGGCTATCAAGTGAGTTCCTTGGTCAGAAGCAATACTGTGTGGCATATTATAGTGGTAGATATGTCATTCTGTAAGTTCACATAGTGGTTTTGGCAGAAGTATTATGTGCAGAAAAGACAAAGATCTAACCAGAATAAATATTTACTCTATTTAGGACAAATCATTGTCCTTCCCATGAAGAAAGTGGTCCAATTTAGTCAATCTGCCACCAGGAGGAATCGTGGCATATCTGTAGCTCAGTGTCGGTCTCTGCTGTTGGCAGCAGCTGTAGCCAGGTCAGCCTTAGTGAGTGAAGTCCATGCTGTCAAGCATCACCCCCATCTCTGCCGCTATGGTCACTTTGTTCATGGGCTCCTTGGTCAATGACAGGGATGGCTGGGAAAAGAGGCTGACTGTCCACAGAATAGGTCATCCTATATACTTGATTATTGAACTCCTCCTCAGCTGAAGTCATCTTTTGATGAGAATTTACATGGGGACACAAGTATCTTCACACCCTTTGCCCATTTGGAGAAATCTATCCACATACTTCTTGCCCAGATGTGTTTCTCATCAATTTTTCAATCATGATCTTTCCAAGTCCCCAACCACTCACTGAATCCATTAGCTACAGTCCATGAATCATTGAGCAATCTCACATCTGGCCATTTCTCCTTCCAAACAAAATGTATGATCATGTGTACTGCCCAAAGTTCTGCCCATTATGCAGATTTCCCTTCACCATTGTCTTTTCAAGGTTGTCCCAGAAAGGGGTTTAATGTTTCAGCTGTCCATTTTCAGGTGGTGCCGGCATAACATGCAGAACCATCAGTAAATCAGACCCTAGTCTTCTTTTCCTCAGTTAACCAGTTATAGGTCACTCCCCATGAGGTTATAGGTTCATTATTGGCAGCAGATGGCATTGTAACAGGAGTAGAATCCATAGGTATTTGGGCAACTTTTTCATGTAGGTTGAGTGTGCCTTCAAGACATGCTTGGGCCCAATCATGTATATACCACATACATTTGATAATAGACTGATGATGTGCATGTCCTACTTTATGACTTGGTGGGTCTGATAACAGCCAGCTTATGATTAGCAGTTAAGGTCACATGGTAACTTGATAGCCTATTGTCAAATGTTCAGTTTCCATTAAGGCTGAATATCAGGCCAAGAGCTATCTTTCAAAGGGAGAATAGTTGTCTGCAGATGATGGTAAAGCCTTGCTTCAAAATCCCAATGGTCTCTTTTGTGATACACCTATAGGGGCCTGCCAAAGGCTCCAAACAGCATCCTATCTGCCACTGACACTTCAAGTACCATCAGATCTACTGGATGATGTGGTCCAAGTGCTAGGGCAGCCTGCACAGCAGCTTGGCCCGGTTGAAGCACCTTCTTCTGTTCCAGGTCATTTGGTATGTGGGCCAGAGTAACACACCCAAGCGAGGAATGTGTTTTCTCCAGAATCCAGACAGGTCCACTAAAAGTTGTGCTTCTTTCTTGGTGGTGGGAGGGGCCAGGTACAATAACTTATCCTTCATCTTATTAGGAATAACTCTGCATGCTCCATACCACTGGACTCCTATAGTAGCTCCCAAATCATGACATGGAGACTTTTTATTAGTTTTGAATGCTCACCCTAGCTTGGGCTCATTTTTGTCTAGCTCTTTTAACTTAAACAACCTATTTCTCTTTATCTACCTTTTGCCTTGGGGCTTTTTACTTTTCTTCCCTTCCATGTATCTGTGTACTTTCTCTGCTTCTCCTGTCTGTCTGGTGGCTGCCTGGCTCCTGGCCCCAGGCGTCTCCCTTGTTCTCTCCTCCTCCTCTCATTCTCCTCTCAAGCCTAGATTTTTCCTCCTGTTTATTCTCTCTGCCTGCCAGCCCTACTTATCCTTTTTCCTGCCTAGCTATTGGCTGTTCAGCTCTTTAATAGACCAATCAGGTGCTTTAGGCAGGCAAGTTGAAATAAATTCAACACATCTTTTCATAATTAAATAAATGCAGCATAAACAAATGTAACACATCCTTACATTGTTAAACAAATACAACATAAACAAATGTAACACAACTTTACATAGTTAAAACAATATTCTACAAGAGACTTCTAAGAATTTAACTGAGGTAGAAGGCCCTTGAATTTTGGTTGAATTTATCTCTCATCCTCTGATGTGCATATGTGGTGCTATTAACAAATTCAAAGTTGTTACTACCTTCTGCTTCCTTGTTCCAATCAGCAAAATGTCATCAATATATGGAACAAATGAGATATTTTGTGGAAGAGACAGATGATCAAGATCCCTTCCAAATAAATTATGACACAGGGCTGGAGAGATAATATATCCTTGAGATAAAATTGTAAAGGTACATACTGAAAACAAATTGCTCCTGATGGTCCTTGTGGACAGGTATTGAGTAAAAGGCATTTGCTAGATCAATAGCTGCATATCATATACCAGAAGATGTGTCAATCTGTTCACACAAGGACACCACACCTGGTACAGCAGCTGCAATCAGAGTCACTACTTAACTGAGTTTTTGATAGTCAACTATCATTCTCCATGACCCTTCTTCTGCACTGGCCAGATGGAAGAAATAAAGGATAATATGGTGGGAACCACCACCCCTGCATCTTTCAAGGCCTTTGTGGCATTAATGTGTCATCAGTGACACATTAGGTTTTTATGTACTATTTTTCCTTAAGAGAGGAAATGCTAAAGTATTCCATTTAGCCTTTCCAACCATAATATCCCTCATTCCACAGATCAGGGGACCAGTGTGAGAATTCTGGTAACTTCTATCTATCCCAATTAGATATTCTAGGACTAGGAAATAATCACAGGATGAGTTTAGGGACTCACTGGACATACTGTGAGTCAGACTTCCATTAAAACTGAATTAATTACCTCTATAAACCCCAACTTTAACTGAAGGCTGGAGGTCCACAGTGTTTTTTTGTTTTTGTTTTTGTTTTGAGGGGTCTCCTGTAATCAGCACCAATTCAGAACCAGTTTCCAATATAACCCAGGAAGTCTGATTGTTGTCTTTCCCCCAGTGTACAGTTACCCTTGTAAAGGGTTGTAGATTTCTCTGGGGAGGGACTGGAGAAAAGTTAACAGTAAAACTTTCTTTTTTTTTTTATTTCTTTTTTTGTATTTTACAATACTATTCAGTTCTACATAATAGCCACAGATTCCCTTGTTCTCTCCCTTCCTGCCCCCCTCCCCTTCCCCCCAGCCCACCCCCCATTCCTACCTCCTCCAGATCAAGGTCTCCCCCTAGGACTGGGATTGACCTGATAGACTCAGTCCAGGCAGGTCCAGTCCCCTC